CTATGTTTTAAATTTAGAGTAAGAGTTTGATGTATATTGTTACTTATATCTGCTGCAAGGAGGGTCAGAAATCAATTTTTTTTTTCTTTTGCTGTTTCTCTCTTTTTCTCTTCTGTACTTTTGATCTTTACTTTGTTTTTCAATTTTCTTCTTCTTCTCCTCTCTTTCAATATTAGTTTTTGTTAGTTTTTCCTGTTCCTTTTTAAAAACTTAATAAAGTTATAAAAAAAATAATGTCTGTTTTTGACACACATTTTCAATCATGACAGATCCACATGTATGTAAGAACCATGTTATGGTAGCATTTACTAAGACTTTACTTGAAAGCATGAATCTAAAAAGACTTTATTCTGTTTTATAAATACATTTTACAGTGGGGATTGGGGGTAAAATGGGAATGATAGGACATACAGGTCATTTAAAAGAATATTGAAATGATGGCAGCTGAAGTATCTGGAGTTATTTATATTTACTAAACTTCAATTCCTAAGTTCCAAGTTTATAAGAATCTACAACAAAAATTCAACAAAAACAAAATGGCAAAACCCTAAAAATCAAAGCTAGAATTTTACATTTTCATAAATTAGTGTTTCAGCATTTGAGTCTAACCAGATAGCAAGCAGGTCTAGTGTAATGAAATATTCAAACATTATTCGTACTCTTTGTTCACCATTAAGATTATTTTTCAGTACATTAGACACTGCATTAAAATCTTGGATTTTGAATATAAAAAGCATGTAATAACCAGGTCTTAGTATTTCAATCAGCAGGGAAACGTCTATCATTTTCACAAGATTTCCATTTTTCAGAAGAGTTTATAAAATTATTAGCTGCCCTTCCAATTTCCAGTCTCAGCAGGAAAGCTACGCCCTCCCTAACAATGTTTACCTTTTATTTAAAGAACAACATACATTCTCATTACATTTTACAACATACCTTTGTAGACCTGTACAGCAACAGGCACCCTTCTTGATAAAAAACCAAAATATTGTTATAAAAAACACATATAATTGCAGAATGACTTTAGGAGGTAAAACAAGGGAGAATTATGCATCTGTACTGAACTAAAATTAGAAAAGCTGCCATATGGCACTGTGAAGCCAGCAGCACATTCTTATTCATTAGGAAGCATTCTGCCAACATAAAAACATAAGGCCCTTCCTGCAATCTCCAATTGTATTTATCTTTTCAACATTAATGCACGATATATCATCAGCTTGCTGAAATCTCCTGCAGTGCATATTTTAAAAGCACAGCTGCACTATTTCCCTGTTTGTTTACCGAGATCAGCTTTAAGAGTAAAGATTTGCTTTACTCTCTTCTTTATGCACAGTCCTTTCTGTCAGCAAATGAAAGTGTGTCAAAATCTGCTGAGTGACAGTCATACTAGCCAATCCTAAACTATAAATAAGACTACATTTTTAATTCTTTTCTTTTTTTGTACCCATCTAATGATTGAGAATAGAAAATGGTCTTGCTTTCACTTTTATCCCTGGTGATGCAAGTGTAAACTAGTTTGTGTGTAAGTGGTAAATGTATTAATCCAAGAGATATCCAAGAGCTGAAAACTGACTCATTGTTTGCAATCAGTGATTGTCTTCCAGTAGCATTTGCTGCTTTATTGGCAGGATGTGTTACAAGAAGTTGTGATAAATAGGTTCACTAGTCTTTCTTTGGGAAAGCAGAAAACAATTCTTATATTAGAGGCTCCATAATAATACAGTCACACAGCTCATAAAAAATTAGAATAATATGTAATATGCATCTGATTAGGACTAGGTGACAGTGAATCTTTCAACATATTTGGATTCTAAATTTAGAGAAAAAAGCTATCTTACTGAGATTATACAAAATGCTTTTATTCAGTATATGAATCAGTCTGTCGATCTAGACCAGTGTTTGCAAAACCATTTCAATAATGGCTAAAACTGACATTGAA